ATCGCGAGTACTATTTATACGTATTATATCTCTTGAGGTTATATTACAGTACTCTTTGGCTCGCATTCACAGGGGATATGTGGATATGTTTTCTCAATACAAGTCTCTCTCTCTCTCTCTCTCTCTCTCTCTCTCCCTCTCGCAGTCAATGCAGTGTTCAATGCATTTGCTTTACACCACATCTCTGCCAATGCTATGAATGTCTCAAACCATTGAGCGCTTGCATTGCATACAAAACGCAAATACAGAGTCTATGGGAGTCGGTGTACAGCAATACCCAACATTCAGTGATGAGACTTATGCCTCCATTCAGTGCGTGAAAGCCATACTATTTCATGCTATTCGCCGTCAATCGACACATATATTGCAATATAAGAGACGTTATTATGGTTTGTGAGGGGAAGTCACTGTATGTATGGCTACTGTATATGACTTACAGAACCCCCTTATCGCAGCTATCCATTCATTATATACGTCTGGGTTTGTAGGGAGAGAGAGAGAGAACTTTGAGAATATTTAGCATGAACATTTTATTAAATCATACATTTTTGTATTTTGTCTAAAAACTTAGCGTTAATTTTGAAAAGTCATGAAAATTTCCTAATTCTATATTAATGTTATGTAACTTTTTTTATGAATAACTGAATGAATTAGTTACTAAGTTTAGTTATTTATTTATATGCACTTTTATTAACTTTTATTAGGCTTTTATGGCTTGTATTTATGATTATATGATCATAGTATTAATACGGTTTACGATGAACTATAAATATAATTAAATTTTATATGACATATACGATAGTGTAGAGCACTGACACTCGGATATCCGTTTTGCTCCCAAAACAAAAGTTCCGTTCAATTCATTTTCACGAACAAAATCCATACATATTTAGAGTGAATTTCACTCGTTATAAACAATTGATAAGTGAGCATTGGCAATCATTTCAATGCATATATCAATTAGTTATAAATTTTTGATAAATTAAAGTTTGAATTAAAATACTGATTATACGGAAAGACTCGCAAGTCGGTGGTGAAAGAGTTCACATTCATATTGAACACTGTTTAGTATATTTCAGAATGGATTCATGTAAATGTTGACAGTAGTTTTATGAATAAAAGTTTTAGGCATTAATTAATTATTAGATCTATGTTAGAATTTTAATATTATTAAAATAAACTTTTGTTTGTATTTAATAAAGTTTGTATTGGAATTTATCTTAAATATTCTATTTTTCTAACTACTGTATATAAGTGCTTATAATACTGTTAAATGTATTAATTTATGATAGCTATAGATATTTTAAAGTTATTACAAATAAGTGTATAAAAATATTCAAAATTATATGCTTTTAAGATACCACTCAGAAATTCATGAATAATAAACTAATTAATAATGGTTTGTTGACAAGAATTGTGTGAAAAAGACTAGAAAATTCTGTATTAGTCATAAAGTTTGGGCTTTATTTGAATGGAAATATAAAAGTGAATTAAAATAGAAATTAGAAAAAACATTGGATTAAAATATAGAGAGTTTGTTAATACAAAGACAATACAGTATCACAATTGATATGCAAAAACATAAACACTTATAATTAGACAATAGATTAGCAAAAAACAGCTAAACATGAGAATAGCGAACAGAGAGAAACAGACAGCAAATGATTTGTTGGGATCCATAAAAGCAACGATTATTGCAAAGACACGCCTCTGTGACCACTGATAGTGACCATCAGACCATAGCATACTACCGTCCCAGTCATTAGTCCTTCAGATGTGCTAAGCCTGAGCCTCACCATACCATCCCTACCCACGGCTACCATGCATCACGTGGTGTTGATACTTGGGGTACGGACAGCACGTTATGATTGTCGAAATGGTTGGGCTCTTCGTTTGGGTTCTCCGGTTTGGCTGTTAATCAAGTCATCAAACATTAGGACATTTGTTACCAGAGTTTTTGAGATAAGCTATTAAAAAGTTGTCTCCACTTTTGGCATCGAAGTCATAGATACTTTGCAATTGAATGGTAATGTCTTTATATGTGTACAGGATTTAGCATTTAATGTGTGCTTTAAATATATTGTATTTTAGAGGAAATTTAAGCCGAAAGAGAAAACAAGAAATTGTGAGTTAATTTTAGTGCACATATTATGGCATAATTAGGAGTAGTCTCATGTAATTACTTCTCATTGAATATTTATAGTGATAAAAGTGGTGAGAAATTGTGTTTCAGATTTTGTTTTTAAGCCTTTCGGTTGCAAAATTGAAATGAATCCCAATTCCAAAAGCGGTCATTAACTTAATGTATAACTTATTTTTCGCTAAAAACTAATTCTGTGTTTCAAAATAAAGACTAAGAATTATAGTGTAAATAACTACTCTATTATGGAGTACTGTATATGACTTACAACTAATGTCTTGTGAGGACAGCACTTTGATTTCAGTTATTCCGACTATTATTTGAGAATTGTAGAAAATATTCAATAAATTACATTACAAACAATGCTAATAAGTTTCTTTCTATTCTAAAAACAATATTTAAGATTTAATTTAATTACAATAAATAGTGAATGTTTCGTAATACGAAACTTTTAAGCAATATTTTTGTGGAGCTCTATTGAATTGAAAAATTATCATTGCATTCATACAGAGTATATAATTACTGGTTTTTTCCTAATTATAAACTCAGTTCTCAGCTATAATTCAATTCTTAGTCTCAATTGTTTGCAATAATGGCTTCACTTAATAGCGATTTTAAAATTATCGCCTCATTTACTGTTGAATACATTTATATTCAAAATACAGGTATTTAAAGGTAATGTTCAATATATTTGAATATCAATATTATTCTTACGACTATCCTTTCCATTGTATATTAAGAATTGTGCGAAAACGCATAATAAACAGTACAGCTATTAATGGAAATCATAATTATTATAATCATATGAAAACTATTGATGTGTTTGTATGGATGTCTGACCAGAACAGCGCAAACCATAACAGTGACCGCCATTCCCGCCACCGGTATTATACACGGAGTACCATAAGTCCGACTCTATTCAATGGATATTTGGATAAATGGATATTAAAAGTATTAATTCTTTCACTATATTTCGTTTACAATGAAATAATTTGAGTAAACTTACAGTTAAAGTCAATTCCATGAATGAGATGAAAAAATTGATGAGAATATCGAGAATTGCCAGACATATCCAGGGAACCAGTAGCCATTTGGACTTCTAATAGCATTTATAGATAGGATTTTGTTATGAAATTAATTTCATTACAATTAACGAGTGATTGCTTGCCTTCACGAGACCCACAAACAGAAGACCCGACGCTCCGATGAATAGCACACTTTGTATTCCCAATGTAAACACTTGTTACAAGTAATACATTTAAATTGAACACAATTTTCTTATTTATCAATGAGTTATAAGTGAATACTCACACAAATAGAAAACAAAAATATTTTCCTCTTCTAACATGTGTGCGATAGCCCATAATAAGTCAAATATACTGGTCGCCTATGCAATGGTCAATAAGTTACAGTTAAATCTTAATTAATTTAATTTTAATTATTTATGCAATATTGTATGCGAAAAATATATAATTATTTAATTAACTTAAAATACTTTTAGTTTGAAATTGTTTTAAATTATTCAACAAATAGTAGAATCATTTTGAATATATAATAGTGAATTATAAATATTTAATAATAATCAGTCCTGTTTATAATATTAATATACTAATACCGGTATAAATGGAACTAAATATAAATAATGAACTTTATAATTAAATAATTTATAATCAGAGAATGTCAGAGATTTTAAAATTGAATACAAGTATACGAGAAATACAAGCATATATTAAAATTTTATTATAAAAATCAAAAGAATCTTTATATAATAATTTTGATTCAATTAGACAAATTCTGTTTCAAAAAATATGTATGATAGTTATAATAATAAACAGTTATTCAGAAAAGCATAACATAAACAATAATACCATAGAGAATATTCCAGCCAGTACACAACCTTTCCATAGCTCAAGACATGAGCAAAACTTCTGAATCGTTACTTTAACCATAGTTTATAAACTATTTTCGTATAATTACATTGCAGTCACTACACATTATTATCCGTATTATTATTGTTGACCACATTTTACTAAAATTTCGTAAATAAGGGTAAAAAATTTGAGAAAAACAAATGACAACGCTATACATATTCTGGGAGTAAATCTATGAATTTTGGGTATATTATAGTACGGAACACACAATATATACAATAGTTAGCCCTTTGAGTAGGAATTGAGACTAAAAGTGGAACGAAAAGCATTTATAGTGTATTCATAATTATAGTTATGGTTTCCAAGGCATCTGTGATGAGTATAATTAGTAATTACTATTCGCATGGAAATTAATATTAAACTTTATATTTCATAATAAGTGGGAAATTATATTAGAGTCACATTTTCAGTGCACGTACTAATACGTGTCCGTTGGGTTTAAATGACTGGTCAACAAACCTACCGCACTATCGCTATGAAAGCATTTGTTTTACTATTCAATATACTTATTATATAAACTACTCTTTGAATTATAAATTAATGACTTTTTGTGTTCAATACTAATGGGAATTGGAATTCACTTCTGGTATTAAATTTACTCCTCATTTAATAATATACGGAATATTTGTATCAGTATTCATACGAAAAATTTTTAAAAAATATCATTTTGTGGGCAAATCCATTGGTTATAAAAGTAATTAATTGAGAATTTTGGAGAATATTTTAGTATTCAAAGTGTGAAATGTGGTATAAATGGTAGTATTGCTTATATTTGCAGACAATTATACGAGACAATTAGATTGCGAGCAATAATTATATATATGTTATGCGAATGTCGTGCGAAATATTGTCTAAACCTTTAAATACTTGATTAACATACCGGTATGCGCTCATCTAAGACTTCATTGAATTATTGTTTGAATGCATTATAGTAATGATTTGCAAATAAATGAAACAAGATTTTCAATATTTCCATTATAACTACTCTGTTTACTTTATTTCAAATTATAATTCTTTGCTATATTTTTGGTAGTATTAAATAAAATATGAGAAAATTCACTGCTATTAAAGTCTATTAAAACAGAAGTTTCAATAATTATCTGAATATAAAATGCTTCAAAAAAGATTTATATCTCGTGGATATACACTAGGATTAGTCATATAATTGCATTAATATGGGCTATTGTGACAAATTTATATACACTGTGCTTTATACAGTAGCAACAAAACAAACAAAACAATAATATACTGAATAAGTTATGTGACATAACTGTAAAATTAATGACATTTTCTGGAAGCGTAAAAATTGGTTGTTTATTTTCTCATCCAATTTATTCAATGAATATAATTAGGAATTTAAAGCCAATCCAAAAGTGTATTACTTATTACATTAGCAAAGAATTGCCGTTAAATTCAATTCAATTGTGATCATCGGTTCACTTGACAGTCACGGATAGTTTGACAATATTTTTAATAGCGATGTTCGCTGCCATCGATGGCTTCATATAATTATTTATTGTCACAAAAAAAACTTCAGAAATACTTGTCTGGAAAGACTGTTTGCATTTATAGCACACAACAGTTATCGGCAGTTTGCAAGTGAACCAAAATATTATGTTTACATTTGTGTCTAATAATTGTTTGTGAACTTTATTTTTTCGCAACTAATTCCCGATTCCGAGTGAATACATGTGAAAAGTTGTCAATTTTTGATACACATCTCAAAACGTATTGTAATTATATATATAAAAAGTTTTGTATCCAAAGTCAAATAAAAATAGCAACCAATTCGTGACACTCGGGGTATGATAAGCGATAGGAATATGTTTTACGAACAGTCGGCGCAAATGAATTTCATGCGGAACGGCACCCGAATGAGTAAGATCTACAGCTACCGGCGCTTCGGTGTCGGTAATATCTATAACAACGACAGCACCGGTAGCCATCAGAAGACCAAAAAGAAATGCAAATCCAATGGTAGTCATAGGAATCGTGTGAAGAATCCGTTCAATTTGTGGCATAAAATCGTCGACAAGTCAACGGCTGTTAGACTGTATTCCACGATAAGGATCACTCAATGCAGAATATTTGAGCTTGTAAGTTTTGTAGTATTATCAATTATGGTAGTTTGTACAAAAGTACTAAACACAAAAAATACTCTAGTAAATCATTATCCTACAGTACTATAGTAAGCAATTAAAATGACAATACGGTAAAAGTTGACAGGATACATTGTAAGCTTATGAGTATTTATTTAGTCGAATTTATTTTTATTTAATATTGAAATTAAATTAGTTTTAAATTTTTTACTTTATTTGATAAATTTGATAAATTCCCAAAGTTATAATAGATTGTATTGGATATAAGATTACATGCCATTGAATATTTATAACGAGACTTACATTGAGATCAATTGATGTTTAATTAAAGTTGTTTTTAAAATGATAGATATAGCATAAGCATAATAATTCAGTCATTTTATAAAATCATATAATTATAAATTGTTCAATTGTTAGTTAAATACATATAAATTACTCAAAATTTGTTTTTTATTAAATCTTAGAAATTAAGGAATAATTTGCTTAAAATAAAAACTACCATTTAAGTGACTTTTTATATAAATCGTGAGAATATATTGTAATAGCAATTACTGGACGCAAACTACAACTAAAAGCGGTTCCGCAAAAATATATATAACTTTTTTGCGAAACAATTTTTGCATAAAAACTTGAAATTTCTGTTTTTAATGATTTTTATAAGTCACACAAAAAGTTTTGTTTTTTGTGGCATTTGTTTAACCAAAAAAGACAACCCATTCATAGATCTCTGACCACCACTCATGAAGTCTCACAAACTTTGTAATGAATGCTTGCATTTGAATAAAAAACTTATGTTATGTTATATAATATAAGCTTTTGTTTGAATTTAAAGTTTTCCATACATTCGAGATCCGTTTTCATAAAAGTTTTTGTCTGTAATTGTAAAATATTTTTGAGAAAATGATAGCAAAAAGTTATTTATTTATAAATTCATGGATTAAAGAGATTTATCGACTATTTTTGGTGAGTAATTGATTTGTTTGCTATATTTAAATTATGCTATAATTTAATATACCGTAAATATTTATGCATTGTAATCTTTACCATTGAAATATAATTAAATTATGTTATAATTATAGACCTATTTATTTGTGTTAAATCAATGCAATTGTGACCCAAATCTTAAGACAAAACACGATAACAAACAAATCTGTATTCAAACAAATCTGTATTAGATATAGTACTCAATGTTTAGTTTAATTGTGAATTTGAATAAATTATATGAAGTTCTCATGATATTGTCCTTTAATTAATTCATGGGTTTGTCAGCAAAAAGTCAAAAAACTTCAAATACAGTATATTCTGTGATTGCATTGCATGTGAATTCAATTTAATACTTTTAATCCGCACATTATTAAAATAAATAATAAATAAAAGGGTAAATAAAATATATTAATTATGTTATCGGAAGTCCTCTAATTAATACTTGTTTTTTGTTTAGCACTTAATCATAGGTTTATTCGATAGGAAAATCGGATTATTTATTAGCAGTAATAATGAGTTAAATATTGATAAATGGGTTAATTTGATTCAATCACCAAAAAAAATATAAATTAATTTCAATAATTGATTAGACTTTTAAATGCAACAAATCGTGAAATCGTAACTCAAGTCTATAATAATGTAAATATTATTTTAATAAAAAGCTCTAGAAGAATATTTTTGAAAACTAATCTCTTGTTATGATAAAATTGGTGTAAACACTGAATTTGCAAAACAGTTTCAAAATCTATTATTTTAAAATCATATTTATTTTATACTACTAGAAAGTTTGCACTAATTATTATTTTAAAATTGATTTCTAAATAATGAGCAAAACTGTGACTTTTGGAGATCTCAAAATTACCAGTGTTACACATTACTTATAAGTAATACACCTTGTACTGTATAACNTAGAAAGTTTGCACTAATTATTATTTTAAAATTGATTTCTAAATAATGAGCAAAACTGTGACTTTTGGAGATCTCAAAATTACCAGTGTTACACATTACTTATAAGTAATACACCTTGTACTGTATAACACCTTCCCTCCCTCCTACTCCTGAATATCTGATTTTTATATTCATAATTGAGGTCTTATTTTGAAACATTGAAAGATTTTTTAATAAGATATTATTCTAATATGCATTAGAAAAGTTTTTATTGTCAATTATTTACACTTTTCACAACTGCTATCAGTTATAAACCTATTATGCCATTCAGATAATGTATATTTAGAAATAAAATCTCAATAAATTAACTTAATTTAGTGTTAAACCAAAAAATTAGCCCACATTTTAATTGCTTGTCGTTTCATTTATGGGACACATTTTATCTCTCATTTCTCTTATCAGTCTCTCTCTCTCTCTCTCTCTCTCTCTCCACAACTAATAAATTAAGTAAAATTAAATGCAACGATAAAAATAAAAGTAAAACCTCCAAAACCCTGGTAATTATGACACCACAAATGAAAGACAAATTTGCTGATAATATAATAGAAATTAATTTCAAACATATCTCTGATAAGAATTTTAAATATTTTAATTGATTCAAAGCAATGCATATTTTATTTTTACTTTATTTGATAGTAATTTCTTTTATATTTTTATCGCTTATATTAAAGTTTCAATGTTTTGTATATTTGTATTTTATATCAAAGTTGTGAACATTTTTATATTTATTTCATTATTTTTTACTTAATTACCTAAATCTGGAATGCATTCAATGTCCAAAATAATTACTTATTATTTTGGGCATTGAATTAATTTGAAATAAATATAAATTGTTTTCATTTATTTGTATTTAACATAAGTTTTAATCTGAGGACAAAATACAGTTAAAGAAATGGAAATTTTTGACCAAAACACACAAAATCCTATTTATTTATTTAATTAATTTTTAATGGTATAATCATTCATTTATTTGATTTAGTCAATGATTAGTTTATCAAAAAAGTAGGATAACATTAATGCAAACTAATTTTTAATACTATTAATATTTAAATATTCATTTACAAAGCGATTTCCTTTTACTATAATTTTTAAGATTATGATTATAATATAAAACTCGATTTGAATGAAATTATCACTAACTCTATGATTAAACAGTAATTTAATGAGCGTTTAAATGTGTTTTAGAAATTCACAGAAAATTTATCGAAATCTTAATTTCAATTTAAATGAATTTTTTAATGTTTTGAAATACGACTCATTAATCAAACATTTTTATGCAAATGGTTTGCCGATAGAAAAATATCTTAATTTATGAGCAAATCCTTCTGATCTTAAGTCCAATCGTTTTGTTTCTTACGATTGAAAATAAATTAAATAATAAAATAGAAATAATTATATGCTTTTTGAAGTCAATTTATTGTTTTACAAATTATAATGCATATAATGTACATATAATTAACAAAATATTTATATTAAAAATCTATTCATCATTAGAAAGTGGTTTATAAAGTGTTTTTAGAAATTCATTTATAATAACCTGGCACACAAATTGGAGCAACTTTTTTTTCCATTCTCCCCACATTCTGCATAAACGGGTTCATGTTAGCCCTCTCGCATATATCTATTCTAATTCATATAAATCTGATAAAGCGATTCAATATACAATATTCACAAAGTGACCATTTTTGATTAATTATTACTAAATTATGAATTAAATTAGCCCAATAGTTAACTACATTTTCTTAATTATTCATAAAATTAACTAATTGAGAAATAAATAAATAAATTTTGTTTATAATATAATTATATTCATTGAATAAATTGGATGAGAAAATAAACAACCAATTTTTACGCTTCCAGAAA